AACCTAACACCATTACATGGCCTCGGGAAAGTTACATAATAATTAAAACCTTGCGGAAATCAAAATCTAACTATTACAAATTCGACGCGGAACCTATACAATCGTCTAAATAATAAAATGAAAGAGATAATAAAAAAATGGAAAATAAGTGTTAGAAATTATTTTTTACAAGCCTAAATGTATAAATATTATAAGTTAATTTTGTATTTTTCTGGTTAACTTTAAGCATTAGAAATAATTAAATTATCTAATTCTAGGTTAATTACAAATTAATTATGAAAATAAAACCAAATTTAATAAAATTAAATAAATTTTTATTTCAAAAAAGTAATTTAATTAAATAAAAGTCTGGTTCTGATTTTATTGTATTTTTGTGATTTTTTATTGGATTAAAAAATTAATTAAAAAGAATTAATAGAAAATTAAAAGAAAAAAAATTAGGTTAAAGCTTGAAAATAGGGTAAATAAAAAGAAAGCTAGCGTTGGGGCTTGAACCTGCGCCCTTCCTTTCATCAGTCTTCACTCTTGCCATTTAAGCCATGCACGTTTTGTGTTTGGAAATAGAACTGAATCAATATAATGTAAACCTGTGTTAATTTGTGAAATAAGCAAAAAAATGCCAAAAGGCTGGGATCGAACCCATGTCGTTCATGATATGTGCGCGTTTGCTTCACCTACTGAGTTGTGTTGTTCATCTGATGCTAAAACACAAATAATATATTATATAAAAAATAATATCAATGAACCGGAGAAGCGCCGGAGCCCTAGCTCCGGTCGTCTTCTCCGACTAGGTGCTTTATGGATCTGCAAAAACAACGCATGTTAGAAAGAAAACAGGACCCTAAACCCCTAAATCGAGGGATATGAATTTGATGGAAGGGTTCTTTTGGCTTGAATGTGCTTGTAAACAGAGATTTGATGCAAACAAATTTCTATGCCCTAACAATGGCAGATGGAGATTTGTGCGTCAAAGCTTGCATGTAACACGTCAAACTTGTTCTAAACAATGTCCTGAACACATTTGGGCTCATCAAACACATTAGTAATACATAGAAATTAAGATTAAATTCAAAGAAAAAATGCAAACCGGTGAAATTTGAAGCACGAGTTTTGGGCACTAAATCTTCTGGTTCTTAAGCTGGGTGTGTCCCTGAGGACTTCAGGAAGAAATTTGGACACCTAGTTTAGACTGCAAATGGTTGGAAAATTTGATACGATATGGCACTATTCTTTGAAAAAAATGGTGTTTTGAAACCTTATTCTCTTGCAGCTTTTTCGTGTCGCTTGGCATCTGATTGTGTTGATTATATATAGAGGATGCATCAGGTTAACATAGATGGAAAGAATCTTGTGCAATCAAAGCTACATCAAAGAAGAATAAAACATGTTTTTCAAGCTTCCATATTTGAAGATTCTTGCCATTTTTGAATTCACACGGTTTTGGAAAGTTGGATACATGTTCTTGGGCCTCCAATCTGATAAAAAAACCAAGCCCACATGCCTTGGTCCATCTTTTTGTTATTTTATTTAATTTATTTTGTATTTAATTGAATAAAAATAAAATAAATGAAATAAAAATAAAAATAAAAGATAATACATGAATGGACTTATGGGTCCTTAAACATGTCATGAACACGTTTGAACCTAAAAACTTAGACCCATTAGCCCAAAAATGCAATTTTGCTCAAAGTGGACTTCATGCATTTTTTCAAAATTGCTCAACTTACAGCAATCATAACTCTCTCAAATTTTCTCATATGAAGGTAATCTTTAACTTTTTGGAAAGCTCAAGATGTCTCCTACAACTCTCATGTTGGTAATTTTTTTATTTGAAGTCTTTATTATTTTGTGATGTGCTTTGACAAAAAAATGTCTTTTTATTGACTTTCAAAATAACTTGTAATATTTTGGCTCATATCTCTCAAATGAAGCATTTTTGGACTTGATCTTTGAGATAAAAAGTTGTAAAGAATTGAATTTCCTTCAAGATAGGATTTGGTTAAGGAATTTCTAATGAAGTATGCAAAATTTGTGCTTGGTCAAAGTTCAGTTGACTTCTCCTAAAGAAACCCCTGATTTAGCAACTTTTGACTTTTGATGAATCTTGAGTTTTCTTGATGAATCATGATTAACCCTTGATCAAATGATGAATGTGACTTAAAAATCTTGATGTTGACCAAAAATATTGAGTTTTTACTGTATGTTGACCACAGTTGACTTTTTATCCAATACAGTTAATTTTCAATTATTTGAGCAATTGGGTGAGCAAACTTGTGATGCAAGACTTGAAACTCGTCATAAGGGTACCTTGAGGCATATGAGGAATCATGGAATCCACTTGAGGCATTAAGAATCCAACTTCCCTTGAGAAAACCAAAACCCTAATTGTAGGCCATTGCTTAGGAGAGGTGCTCTTATGCTCAAACCCTTGAGTATTCTTGAGCAATTGAGAATCCTAGGAGCATGAAGAGGTGTCTTGAATCAATTGTATTTAAAATGGGAGGGAAAATTTTGGGGTACAACAATCACCCTTCCTTTTTCCTTCTTCATTTGCTTCCATATCACAAAAATCAGCATTGGACCACGGAAGGCTCAATCAAGAAGAAGTCAATAAGATGATGGTTATGCATTTATGAGACCCAAATGATGTCGCAAATGAGGTAGAGGACACCAGCGGTACTCATGCTATATTTAAATTCTTGAAAGAACTTTATAAAGATAACCTGGAGATGGCCCGGAATGACGAAGGGAATGATATACAAGTAGAGTATAATTGGGAGTGTGCATTGAGGTGTTACCTATTGTTCCAGGTTGGCAGGTTCATCTTTGTGGACAAAATTTTAATCTATGTCGATGTGGCCTAGCTTAAATACTTCATCGACTTAACAATGATTCACCAGTACAATTGGGGGGCTCCTGTTTGGACTACCGATACTCGAAGTTGAGCAAAGGCTTCCTTTAAAGGACAAAGCAGTTGAGAGGAAGTTGTATGCTGCTTACGGTGATTTATTATTACTAATATTTCATAACCCTTTTGTTATACTTGTTACTAATATTTTATCTGAACCATTTCAGAAATAGATCATCTCTCACTTTTATCGCGTTAATTATACAATAAATCAGCGATTTTGCGCTACATTTTCAAAAAATTTGCACATAGAATGTTACACCTCTCAAAATGCATGCGCCTTCTGATCATGTAACACATAATCTAAAAAGAACACTATAATTAAGCAAAAAGAACATAAAAGAAGAAATTCTGATAAACTCATTTTATGTTAGACACGGATTTTTGAAATTCAAAAGAAACTGAAAAATTTCGCAAGAAATCAACATACCCTTGAGAGCGAAGAAGCCTTCGCTGTTGCGTGGTGGGACAAATTGACAAAAGATAAACCCAACTGGATCTTCTGATCAGCACAGGTTGACCTTTACGGAGTCCATTAAGAGTGAAATTAACCTCATCCACATGCTCCATCATCTCCCCAAACTCTTGCGCCTCCATCAGCGTCGACGTCGCCGGAAAAGATACGCCTTTTGCCTTCTTTGACTCCTGACGATCTGCTCCGTACAAATCGTCGATCAAATTGGGGTCGGAATCGAATAAAGACTATTGAGAGGAAGAATCTTGGGAAGAGAAAGCGAAGTCGCCGAAGTGAATGTCTTGTTCTTGGATAAGAGTGTCTATTGAGAAGGACTTTGATACATCGTCGTTTAGGGAAGAACCAGAGCACGTTTCAGAAATCGATCTGTTGCATCGACTGTATGTGCGAACAATCATGGTGGATTTCAGAATCGGAGATCGATGGTTTATGGTGATGGGTACTGGTTGGTGGCAACTATGTACATGGATGAGAATTTGTCACTTTTCGACAAGATGAGGGTTTTTTGATAAATTTATCACGGAGAAAAGATAAAAGAAAGATAAAAATTTGAACTTATTGAGCTTAAGGAAGAATGTGAAAAACACATAGAACAGGAGGAAAGAGAAAGAAGATGAAGAAAGAAGATCTATGAGATGATATTTTAATTAAAAAGAACAAGTGACACCTGAAAATAATCGTATGTTTTAATTTTTTATTTTTTAAATTCAACTTGTCAACGGTAAACTTTTTGGGTGAGCTAATTTAATGAATGACCAAAATAATCATATGTTTTAATTTTTTTTTTAAAATTCAACTTGTCAATGTCAGGTAAGCTTTTTGGGTGAGCTAATTTAATGAATGACCAAAACAGTAGAATTTTTAAATGATAGTGAGAATCTAAACTTTTTTTTACATAATTTTTTTCAAATCTCATCTAAATGACAAGGTAAATGACAGGGGACGAAATAACTATTAACCCTTAAATAAAATACATATAAATCACAAAAAATTAATAAATAATTCAATTAAAATAATTTAATAAAAATTGGAGTGTTACACATCTTCAGAATATCATGTGTCATGTACAAAAAAACATGTTGCCAACAGATTAAAACTAAATTCAGTGAATTTTTCATAGATATTCGGATTCATCTAAAAAAGTTACGGAAATATATCTCCATATTAGATTTTTGCAAAATTGAAGTGAGTATTGAAATAAGAACACTGGTGTAACATTAAGTGCATCTATGGATGTATCTCGAAATACAACAAAGATATTTTAGAATGGGGCGCACCCAATGGAATGGGATAAGTATTTCCCAATTTTTATCTTCAAATTCAAACAGTTCAATCTCAAATAATTGCCGTGTGGTTTTGGTTCATTTTTAAAAGCTTGAAAGTAGGCCCCTGAAAGAATATCCTATAAATTATATACAGATTTAATAGTAATGCGAATGGAAACGTATGAAACATGAAACACTCGTATATGAAAAATAAATTTGATCAAGAAGATATTAAAATACAAAATATATCCACTCCTCATGTTTAAAATATGAAACTTGTAGATAGCTAATTCCAAATAAATAACAATTCCAAATCATAATTTTTTTGTCTGAGCTAAATATAGAGAGAAAATCACTTTGTATCAGAACTCTCCTCCATGTGTTCAACATCTCTCTGGAGAGACTCAATGATACCCTTCATATCTCTGTTAACCTATTAAAAATCAGAAATAATAACCTATTAAGTACCTAGAGATATGCAACAAAATTCAAACATTATCAAATGCATATCTCACCAATATTAAGTACTGAATTATTTGCAACAAAACTTCAAACATTATGAAATGCATATAAATTGGCAAAATTGTATACCTAAAGACTTCACTGTAAACACTAAATTCCATACTGAATTTCATATTTTCATATAGGTTTAAAAGTTTATTGGTAAATTTGGAATACCGGTCATTTCATAGTAAATTAGGGATGCAATTAAAAGGAATTTCAATAAGGATAATAATCTTTTCTTTATTTGGTTGATGCAAATACAAGTCCTAATACGAATATGTATTAATCACATCACAAATACAAGTCGAATAAATTTGGAATGCTAGTCATTTCATAGTAAATTAGGGATACAATTAAAAGGAATTTCAATAACATAATAATCTGTTCTTTATTTGGTTGTTGCAAATACAAGTCCTAATACGAATATGTATTAATCACATTACAAATATTCAATGCAATCCAATAGTTAAGAATAAGGTTAAAACTAACATCATAGACTTCAAAGTGAAATATGGTTGTTCTTATAAACATTTATTTTCAAAGAAGTTCAACATTACCTGTAAAAGCGGAAGGTAATCCACTAGGTCATCTGAACAAGTAGGACATTTCATGATGTTTTTCTTTGTCCGCAAAGAAAATCCACTTTGAGATGCCCTCTCCCTTATATGACTTTGGCTTGAAAAAACACCTTCCAAGCAGGCTTTGCAAAAGTTGTGAGCACAAGGTGTAGTAAGAGGGGAGGCCAACACCTTGCGGCAAATATTGCAAGCAAGCTCTACAAAAACATGAATCCAAGGTAACAATGTATCAACATAACAAGTTCACTACTATATGTATCTTACAACAGCAACAATAATTAAAAAGAAACAAGGTTAATAGTTATCACCAAAGATCCTATACCTTTCAAAAGCTTATTCTTGATTTTTAAGGACACCCTTTTTTCTTTTGTCATATCAACTTTTATATTTGTTTCATTGATAGGATCCACAATATTCACCGGTTTCTTACTTAGCGGTGGAGGCTTCTTCCATAGCCAACAGTCTTTTTCCTCCTGAAATTTAGACAAATGCACATACTGATGGACCTTATAAAAACTATGGAACAACAAAGACGGGAAAAAACTTTCCTTTTATTCTAATGGTACATCATTTGACTGTCTGAGCATCAACTCACCCTTTATTCAACTTTTGGCAGTTTTTGGCAAACAACTTCGAGTAATTCAAGTGTAAACATGTAAGAATTTTTTTTACCAATACCTAAACTTAATAAATGTGATTATCAGGTATTACAAAGTACAAAAATAATGTTAAAAAAAATAAATAAATGTAATAAACAGAACTGAAAGAAACCCTTTAAGACATCAAGAAATCAAAGGAAAACATATCAGTAGAAAACACCACTTACATGAAAGTCCCATGATGGATCACCCTTCCTTTCAGTAATATCAACAGCACCGTTCAACTCCTCAATTATAGGTAGTGGACAGGGACGATCTCCGGATAAATCACTTCAGGTCAACAAAATGAATTTAAGTGATGTTTCTTATACCTTTACTTGTATTATTAGTAAAAATACACGATACTTCAATAAAAAATTTGAGGAACAAAAACCATACCTTTTCCATGGAGCAGGCTCATTGTCACACCTCACAAACAAATACCTACAAATCTTATGACCCTATGACAAATATATTTCAAGTCAACAATAAAGCTTGATTAATTGATAACTTATTATGTTTCAATCAATGTACTTACTTGAATAAATGGAATGAATGATTATTACAAACAAGAATCATACTTACTTGTTTTCCAATTTTGCGCCAACATTTTTCTATTCTATAAACCCCATCGTATCTCACTCCTGCTTTTGGTGCGTAAGAGGAACGCTTCTTCATGTGGAACCTGAACCGAATAAATGAATGTACAAACTAAATACCATATAAATTCACACAAATCTGTGAAAAAATTCATCAGATATTATAACATTTAAATTTAACTTTAAACTAATAAGGAACAAATCAATTGAATTTATAATAAATAATAAGACAGACCTTACAACGCGAACAGGATAACCTTTTTGGCAACTGAGTCTCAAAGCCTCGTTCTTTCTCTCAATTTTTTTATCAAAGGACTGATTTTTGTGGGTGTGTTTGCTACCACTAAGATCCCTTCCACTATAAAGAAACCAATTACCATGATCTATGTCGTCAATGTAACCACCAGATAGAGCAACAGATTGAGCACCATGAGTACTCTGACCAGCAATCCTGGCATCATGGGGAAAATGAGCACCCCATTGCATACATTCCATCAAACTCTCCCATGTATCACCAACAAGAACCCCGCGTTTTCTTGTTGGATCATTCTCAGCAACAATCGGTCCAAAATGATCTTTTGGAATCGTCACGAATATCTTCCGGTGTGCAACACTCTCTGATCTAGCTATTTGAATGGTGGTCGCCAGTTGTACATTGATTTGTGGATCACTCACCATCTTTGCTGGAATTTCAGCCCTACAATTCGAGCAATTGTGCTTTCCTTGCTTAATCCATTTCTTAAAACACTTCAGGCAAAAATTGTGCCCGCATGGTGTCTGAACCCCCAACAACAACAACAAATAAGAAATTTCAATTGCAAATAATAATTCTAAGACCAAATGTGTAACACATTTCAGTTAAAGATCAAATTGTTTATATAACCAAACAAAAATAATTTTGATTGAGTTGTCTGAACTACTTGATTTCAAGATTTAAATATAATGTCACTGGAAATTTTCAAATAATCAAAACAAAAAGAATTAATTGGTAAAGAGAAAATATAAATATGGAAGATGAAAGAAACTAACAGTGATAGGTCTCTCGGGCAAGTGCTGACAGAAAGTGCAGTTAAGCCTACTATTGAATACATCAAACACCTCATTGCAATTGTTGTTGTTTTCAATAGGTGGTTTAGAAGATCCACCAATGAGTTTGTGATGTTTCCTAGCTACTTCACCGGTAAGTGAAGTATCATTCTCGATGGCATGGGTGGTAGAACCAAGACCACATGCGATAGGAGAAGTAGGTGCATCAGTGAAGGGGTTGTTATCCACTGGTTGAGAACAATCAATGCATATCCAATCAAAGATTTTCAAGGGAAGGAGAGGTAAACATGGAACATGCCATGGAGTTGCACATGTTGTGCAATGAAGAATTTCAATTTCTAGAGGCGGCTTGTTACAGATCATGCAAACACCATCAGAATCGCAGGGAAGCTGCTTGTTGGGCTGCTGTGCCATTTGGGATAAAATGATTATGAATTTTACACTCTTTTTCTTTTCCCCCTCTATGTTTTAGTTGTTTTTTAATACTTCCTTCATATCCTTTTTTTTTCTTTTCTTTTACTATTCTTTTTCAATGTTCAATGGCATTCATTTAACTACTATAATATTAAAAAATTCCAAAGAATTTACAGTCAAAGAAATGAATATATATATATATATAACTATTCCAAATAATGAAATTATATATATATAATTTCATGAAATTATATATATATAATTTCATTATTTGGAATAGTTAGTATATATATAAAGTAAATACTAACTATTACCAATAATGAAATTATATATATATATAATAATGAAATTATATATATATAATTTCATTATTTGGAATAGTTAGTATATATATAAAGTAAATACTAACTATTACCAATAATGAAATTATATATATATATAATAATGAAATTATATATATATAATTTCATTATTTGGAATAGTTAGTATATATATAAAGTAAATACTAACTATTACCAATAATGAAATTATATATATATATAATAATGAAATTATATATATATAATTTCATTATTTGGAATAGTTAGTATATATATAAAGTAAATACTAACTATTACCAATAATGAAATTATATATATATATATATATATATATACATATATATATATATATATATATATATATATATATATATATATATATTATTTTAGTAAATAATAATTATTCTTAATAATAAAGTTGTTCATGTTCATGAACATGCGAATAAAAAATTACTCTTATTTATTATATAAAAAAAGAATACTTCATATAACTTTTGTAGAAATAATTTAGGGTGTGTTTGATTTGTTAAATAAGAAGCACTGGACAGAACAGTACTAGACAATACAGTACAATACAAGACAATTTTTTGTATTGTACTCTGTTTGATGGTTAATGCACTGAACAATTTTTTTCTCGATTTTGCTTGATTTGTATATGCACCAGACAAAATAATATAAAGTTTACTATAATACTATTTATTAATATATAGAATATTATTATTTATGAATCAAAATATTAAATAATAAGGAGGAAAAAAGATGAAGAGATAATTTTTTTACTCTACTCTATTTAATATGTTTATGCAGCACAAAATACTATAATTTTTACTACATTTTTTGTATTGATATATAAAATATTGATATTTATGAATCAAAATATTAAATAATGAAAAAAGAAGAAAAACGACAAATAGAGATTTTTGTTCTCTACTTTGTTTGATATGTTGATGAACCGAATAAAAATAATATAATTTGTATTATAATATTCTTTATTGATATATAAAATATTAATGTTATATTTATGAATTAAAATATTAAATAATGAGAAAGAGAGAGTATATATTTATATAGTTTTTTATATAATTATTATATTAAAACATTAATATTATATAAATATTTCAACCCACACATTCAACTTTCCAACATATTTCATCAATAAATAATGAGAAAGAGAGAGTAAAAAAAAAGATATTTTTGATATTTTTTTGATAATTTATGCTTGGGACAAATATTTCCCCCATGATTTAGTGGGGGTTAAAAATTCATGGTTTTGTCCTCTCCTTTATCATATATTTTGTCCAGTACTATGATCATGAATTTTTTAGCAAATCAATCGCACATATTCAACTTTCAAACATATTTCACCAATAAATATTTATATAGTTTTTTTATAAATTGTTTTAATTTTAATAGTTTAAAGATTATACAAATTAATATATAATTTTTCAATCGAAAAACGTAAACAAATATCTATGCAAATCTGATAGTGTCCGTGTTATAAAAACACATAAATCGTCAACCTAGTGTGAAACAAAGCTTATGTGATAGAATTTGTTGTGTGACACTAAAGGAGAAAAGGGATAAAAAACCAATGACATAAACCAACATAAAGGTGGTCTCTAGCCTTTTAGATTGCTAGCTACTTCTATAACTTAAATAAACATTCTTTCAACAAGTTTCCCAAAATATACACAATAACAATAATATTGTATAATTACCTTTTGTAACTAGATCCAATTATTTCTCTAAGAACTTGAAGTTGATGCTTTTGTTTCTACTCTCTCTTAAGCTCTTTATGTCCTACCTGGTTTGCTTCTAGCCCTTAATCACCTTCATTGACAAAACATGAAGATGAGCTTTCCTTATTATTTTTAATTTCACAAACATCGTAGCAAATAGCAATTAATGAATGTGCAGTAGACTTGTTCCTCAAAAATAGAAATGTTAATGGCATAATTCCGTAATCCCTATAAATAAGCAATGGGCTTAAACACAACTCACAGAGGAGTTTGTTTTAAATCCTTTGAGGGCAAAAATTATGCAGCAAATGCCTTTGTCGTATTTTCTGTGTAAAGTCTTCTTATTTTATGACATGCATAGCATACAACCTATATGATCTTGAACCAGTTGTGGAAAACAAAATTCACAGCGAGAAACTAAATGACTGATATGACAAGACAATTAGTTTGTTAAAATTACTTATAACATTAACAAGCCAATTGCAACAACAAAAAATACAGAAGTTGTAAGAGGTAACTAGCTAGATAGCTATATGCTAGTATAAACATACTATACACTATAATATAATTTTCTTGTTAAATTCAATATATTGAGTAAGTAATCAAGTGTGAACTTATCAAACAAATTCAGTTTATGTAAAATCTAGTCGGGGATTCATCTGTGCTTAAATGCATAAATAAATCATTTTTCTACTTATAATTGAACATTTAAGCACAAATAAATCACTTTTCTACTTATAATTGAACATTGTTTTTGCCTTAAAGGGTATGTAAGGAGATGATTATGAATGAATGCGAAACAAAACTATCTATTTCTCAAATGCTCCAATTCAATAGTATGCACAATTTAACTATTATTGCTCGTGCTTCCAGTCCAGTATTGGATGCAATGCAAGGTCCGATTACATTGAAAATGTTGATCATTATTAGAGATAAACAACAGAACAATAGAAATCATGGATGTGCCATGTGCCTTTAAAGTTCAACAACAAAAAAAAGAGAAGAGAAATACAAAATAAAAAATGTAGAACAAAGCAGAAAATTGGGTTTTATTGAATAGATTACCGTGGTACAGAAGGAGCCAATGTGCCAAAGTACAGGAACTGTGCGGGAAGAACCGGCAGCACCATGTGCAGGAAGTGGAATGGTGCAGAAGGAACCAGAAGCCTCTCGTGCATGAAGTGGACCATCTTAAACACTATATCAATACTAAACATTAAGATCACCAACTTAGAAGAATATATACACCAAACATAGAGACAATTCCTCAAACTTAGTACCTAAAAATTCAAAACTACTGGACCAACTCTTTTTAAAACATCTTAACCATTCACCTTGTCAGTTTAAACTAATATTGACCTCAAAAGTATAACTTAAGAGCCTTTAGCTTGTTGCAGATGCTGCCACAATTTGAAACTATAGAAAAAGACAAACCGAAAAAGTGACATTAAATACAATAAAGTGATTTTGTGATCAAGCTAAGCAACATAAGAAAATATGACAGCTACCATGCCCACAAACTTTCTATACTTAGCTGGGGATGGCTTGCGTCTTCAATAAAATGAATAACAATAGCACACTTCTTTGTCATATTAACCGAGTCACAGTTACTAAAAAAATCAACTATATTACAATAGATGAAAAATAAATAGCCAAAGAGCTTTTACCTCAAAATGTACATTGCTCTATCTTAAGCAGTGTTGTCGATGGGGGATGGCGGTCCATGGTGGAGAGCCAAAATCCCGCCATACCGGACGCTTTGCAGCACCGTTATTGCGGATTATGGCGGAAAAACTCCCAATGGCGGCCTATATTTACCATTGCGGCGAGCCCAAAACCGCCATGAATATCCGCCGTAGCGGCCATGGCAGGTCAATTTGATAACCGTGATCTTAAGAATTGCAACAACAATGTAAAGAATCCAAACAAGTTTGTCTTCAATCACAGAGGTCATCACTATCTCTAACTTGTGATTTTTCCCTTTCATGTTCCAGTCATTGAAAGCAGTGATGCATCAGTTACAAAGAGTCAGAGACAAACCTAAACACTGAGAGAATAGAGGAGAAATTCAGCAATGTCAATGACATTAAGGTGCAAGATGGATAGACAAAGATGTTAGGAACCCAAATAGAAATTGTACTATTAAATTGAAAATAGTAACTATTAATTACAGAAGATTAACCCTACAATTCCAGAGCTAAGCTCCTCAGAAAAAGTTGATGTATTTGGCCTTAGTACTTTTCTCTTAGTTGCCGTTAGATGTGTATAATCAAATTAATAGTTTAGAATAAGATACCTTAAAATGCAATTGCAAGTGGTGTCCTGTACACATTTTCCTGGGGTGGTGCCTAGATTAACATCAGAAGTTGAACTATTGGGATAACAAATTGCTTATCTATTTGAGCAACTTATATGAATAATGCCAAGCTTTTTAATGGGATTAAGTTCGACAATACATAAGAGAATGAGACAGAAACATACTCATCTTGAACATGGGGCAGTGTTCATGCTTGCACTAAGGACGACGAAACTTTTGTCCATGGCGGTTTGAAAAGAAATCGACGCGTTAGGGTTTCTGGTTTGGGGGTCGTGAAGTGTGTTTCTAATTGGGTTATGGATGACAATAAATAAAATTATTGAACAACAGAAGTGAACTTACTATCTTCTTATGAGAATCTAACATCTATTTTTAACACATTTTTTATAATAATTATTCAAAGTTCACATGATTTCCACCAAATTTATGAGACCAGCATAATTTTAAAATCTAATATAAATTTTAATTAATTATACAGAATTTATTAAAAATGTGTGTTAAAGAAAGAATGTTGTTAATATTTTTCATTATTAACATACAAAATAATTTCAACACAAATTTCACATTGTCACTTTTTTCTTTTTTTTATTACTAGACAATTTATATGGAAACAAGCAAAAATAAATAGTTTAAGTCGATTTATTATTAGAAGATTTATACTCTTTCTGTTATGTCATTAGTTACTCAAGTTGTGTAAAAAAAATTACAATGTTAAATATTTAATAAATGGACTTAAAAAAATTCTAAATCATCACCACATTATTTTTTAAAAGTAGATGGAAGATGGTAAATCTAAGAATCTCTTCTAAATTTATTATTTTGCACCAATGACATAGTTTAATTTTAGTCATTTATAGCAGATGATGACTTATTTACTAATTTTTGTTACTTGGTTCATTTAATAATCTAGCACAAAAAGTCTCATTCGTTTTCATAGAGATTGTGTTATATGTAGTGAATATGAATGTAAAACAATTAGAAAAGAGAGAACAAGAAGGGATTGAACTCATTTATCATGGCAAATTAGTTACATTGTGTGTTTATATAGAGAGTCGTCATCTAACAACCTCTAACTAAATCATGACTAACTTATGCATAGATATGCTTCTCTGTAGTGTGTCTACATTAAGCTAACGTGGTCCATCATTGGAGTGCATGAGTTTAACGAAATTATGATATCTTGCATGCTTAGCTTGCCATGCACGTTACTACGGCAACAATGCTTTAACACCCTCCCTCAAGCATATCATGTATAAGTCAAACATGTTAAGCTTGAGGATGAAGGAATTAAAACTCTTTGGAGGCAATGGCTTGGTGAAGAAATCAACAAGTTATGCTTGTGACTTGACAGGTAACAACTTGAAGATACCTTATAGTAATTTGTCCCTCACGAAATGACAATCAATCTCCAAATATTTCGTGCGCTTATAGAAAACAATATTTACTGCAATGTGGATAACACTTTGACTATCACAATATAGCACTGGTGGTTTGCAGCATTGAATGCCCAAATCGTGCAGTAGATAGAGGAGCCATTGTAGCTCGCAACTTGCAAAAGACAATGCTTTATACTCAACTTCAGAAGAACTTCGAGAGATAGTCTATTGTTTCTTAGCTCTCCAAGAAATCAAGGAAGAGCCAATGAAGAAGCAATAACCTGAGGTGGATCTTCTCGTGTCCAAGCATCCAGCTCATTCTGCATTAGTAAAACCAACTAGTTGGATGTTGAATCTCTATTGAACAACAGTCCCCTCCCAAGTGAACCTTTCAAGTATTTTACAACCTTGCAAGTTGTCATAGCGTGTAGTAGTTGGTGAGGCAAGAAACTGACTCAACTATTGAGTTACAAAAGCTATATCAGGTCGAGTTGTGGTGAGGTAAAGTAATTTTTCAACCAGTCTTCTATAACTCAGAATGTCCTCAAAGGGTGCACTTGTATCTTGATGAAGTTGACAGATGGATCAAGAGGAGTTTTAGTTGGCTTAGAAGCAAGGAGGCATTTGTACTTTAGCAGATCCAAATAATAGTTCCTTTGGCACATGATAATACCAATTTTGGAGTACGCTACCTATATGCCTAAGAAGTATTTTATCCTACCAAGGTCTTTTTTTTAATCCAGTATCAATGGTGTCTTTTACTCGATTGATTTCATCAATGGAATCACCTGCTAGGATGATATCATCCATATATACCAATAATGCTGTGAAATGTGAATCAGTGTGAAGTGTGAAGAGAGGGTGATCAGAGTTGGATTGTTTGTAGCCTTGACCAATGAGGAAACCAATTAATTTCTCATACCATTTTCAACTAGCTTGTCTCAATCCATACAATTACTTCAACAACTTGCACACTTGGTTAGGTTTGGGATTGTTGACACCTTGTGGAACTGGCATATTAATGGAGGCCAAGGCAAGCAGAGTTCTAACAGTAGTAATTTTGGCCACATGTGAGAATGTATCAAAGAAATCAAGCCCTTCAACTTTATTATAGTCCTTTGTTACAAGTCTTGCCTTGTATCTCTCTATGGAACCATCAACCTTATGTTTTACTTTATAAACCCATTTTCTTCCAATGGGCTTGATGTTTGGTGGAGGATCAACAAAAGTCCATGTTTTATTGTGTGACAAGGCTTCTAGTTCATATTGCATTGCTTTGACCCAACAATTATATTGAGTGGCTTATTTGTAACTTGTAGGTTCAACTAGAACAATGATGGACAAAGCAAACTTTTGTTGTGCATTAGAGAGATTATTTAATTAATGAAAAGCTTTAATTGGATAAGAAATATCTGAGGAATCATGACTGGCTGACCTGCTGGAAATATTGCATATGAAGTCAGATAAATATATATGTTTATGGATTTGTCTATTTGATCTTCTCAGGCTGGCAGTATGTTCATGAACAATTCTAGAAACAAAGTCTTGAGGAGGATCTATTGCACTAATATTTTGTTACTGACGACCCCTATTGTGACTCAAGTAGTCTGAAAAGTAGGCATTCTTTTGATAAAGATGAATTCTTTTAAATATGGAATAAAAACTAGATGTAAGGTTTAGTTAGGGTGATAACACACTGTTTTAGGACTTGAATACTCATAACACACTGCATATGCTTGATAAGTAAGCACACTAAAGTGTGCAATAAAAGTAACCAAAGAGCACTTCTTAAAATAAGTTCTTGTACCTGAAACTCGAGGAACAACTCATGTGCCAGAAATTGGAGGAGCAAGTTTTTAAATAAGTTCTTATACCCGTATCTGGAGGAACAATAGTTGTCTTCGCCATTAGTAATAGGTTAGACTCATTACAAGTGAAATTTCGTCAGGTGAAAAGGTGGATCAACTACATAACTTTTCTTTTTGAATAAATTCATGTGTGATTCTAGGTGTAAAAGTCTGAAAATATGAAGTCAAAACCCCTTGCTGGAGCTAAAAATGAGTTTTTGGACCATAGGATAAAGCAACCAAAATTAAATTTAGACTGGCAAACTTGACAGAAGAGTTATGTCATGACAGAGTGTATCATTGGTCTAAAGAACACACAAACAATTAAGATTGAGTCTTGGGACTGAGTTGTACCTGCTTTTGAGACAAGTCCCTTAAGATGATTTATGATTTTGGAAAGAGGAAAGTGTTGTTAAGAAGGGTGGTTGCTAGAAGAAAGTTATCCTTGTCTTTGCATGTTGCATCACCTAAGGACATGTAATGATTCAAGTTTGGGGGTGTGTTAACCCGTGTTTTGTGAGTTAATACATACCTTAATATTTTTCTTTGTTGAGTGTTAATATACTTGTTAGTTGTTAATTTATTGCTTTCTAGTTGTTTTAATAGTATTTTTCTTGGAGCATAATAGGTGCTCTCTTTTATGTTTTAATGTGTTATATGCTTAAGTTAAGGTTAGAATTGTCAAGCTGAGGCAAGACTGTAGTGGTCTGCTACAAGGAACATAAGATGAAGAAAGAAGTTGGACTTAGAGAAAAAGGGAAAATAATAATCAGCTAGCTTCAAGGGAAAGCGTAAAAGGCAGATGGAATTGGAGCGAATCTTTGTTGAGAAAAAAGAGAGAAAATATTTGAATACAAAGGATAATGTTTCTAGGCTCTAGAAGACAAAAGAAGGTACAATAGTATGTTGTGCAGACTTTGCAGCATTGTCTGCGCCTCTACCACAACAGTCTACCATACTACATCTTGTCCCCCACCAATGTCTCCTTGTATCCGGTTTCTTGTTAGCTAAGCAGGAGGAATGAAGTGTTGGTGCTAATTTCAACATGGGCTTGATGTGATTTCCTCATTTTAGGCTCATGATTCAATGCATCACAAACCCTAGCTCAATTCTATAAATAGGACCTTGAGGATATTGAAAAGGGAGTTCAGGAATTGCAAGAGAAAATATAGAAGATACTAAGTGTGAAGAAGGTGGATAGTAGGAAGAGTTTTCTTCTTCTCACCCAGTCTTGTACCTGTTGTTAAGCTCTGGCGTGACTAAAGTCACCTTTTGAAGATTATCCATCTCAAGAAGTTATAAGTATCTCTTAGTTTTATATCTCTTTTTCATTATTTGTTTAAAGATGTTCCTTCTGAGAACCACACTTATAATTTGTACTCAGTTCATCATGAGTTAAACCTTTTGTAGTTGAGCAATGTGAAGTTAATATTAAGTTATTTTATAT